TATATATATATATATATATATATATATATATATATATATATATATATATATATATATATATATATGGAAGACATATAAAAGCACAAATATAACTTGATCTCTTAGGCCACATTAGCTTAAATCCATCAATATTTGATAGCTTTGTTCCTTATAAAACCATCTGCAAGATGCTCCTCCATTAAGTTACTTTTAAATTTACTACTCTTACTATTCAAATTTACTACTCTTACTTTCAAATCTACTATTCTTACTATTCACATTATTTCAGAGTTAATTTCGATAAATGTCAAACTTCAATTTAAGATATCTCAATATGTCTTGCCGTCAAATGGATTCGGAGGTATTTCCACTAAGCTATTCTAGTTTAACGAATTTCGAAAAAAAATAAATGGTCCTGAATTTGCACTGAGAATTTAAAAACTTGAGAGTAATTAAAATAATTCTTAAAATATTACTAGCCCTACCTTATTTTCCATAACAAATGCGGTGCACAGAAAATAATTAACCTTTGAATTTGTTGGAAAACTATAGAGTAATCATCAAAAACTGAGCTCTCACACTCCTGACAAGATCTAAGGGACTCCCTCAATTGGATTTTCGCAACTGGCCAATAACAAGCAAGACTTGGAAGGTCAAATACCTTTGATAGCATTGTTGCTTGCAGCGATAATCGAAATTTATAATATTCTGCCTTCCACACATCTCGAGCTTGCATTTCTTTTATGCAGTCCTCCGATAGCTGTAAGTCAACTATTTGACCGCAATCACAATGTCCTGATTTCAAATTACTAAACAGCTTCATCGATATGTGACATTTCTGAACCTACTCTGTAAAACTTTCGAAATTAAGAAGCTATACTTTCTTCCTCATTTCTGCTTAACATAATTAGCTTCCAATTAGAAAATCCAGCTTAAAGTCTTACATAGCATAGGTCATTTCTGATACTATTTCATTTCATGTCAAAGGCTTTAAATCTTCTATACACCATCATTGCTTGATATCTTGAAGATAGCAATTTTTGTTTTTAATCTACTAGAACATCTCCTATTCCACATCTCCGTTATATAAAGTCGAACTCTGATCAAATCTATCCGCTATGAAAACTACAGAATTTTGTATATTTAATGAAAAGAGTTCAACTGCTTCAAACCTGAATCATCAACAATTATAAGTGACACGTCCCGAAAGGTGACCTGAAACAGCCGGACAAACAAATACGTTTCCCCGCACCATGCGGAAAATTCCGAGCTATTGCATGTAAAATTATTGAAGGCCGTCAATGATCAATATGAACCGCATAAAAAGTGGTCGCCACAAGTAGGAGGAAAGATTTTTACACGGTTGATGTGAGATTGGTTACTCTATCGATGGGGATGGGGGATGGGGTAAGGGGAGGATGTGAGGTTAGATTGTTTGCTGTTTTATCCAATAATGTTCAGAGGTATTCATTTTATGGGTAAGGTTGCTGAGAGATTAAGCATTCATTCACGAATCATATGTTGATAGATTTGATGGTAGGCTGCAACATATCTCTTTGTGTCTGTTTTATTTCATACGAAGGATTAATGAAGGTTGACAGTTGACAATATTTTTAGCTCATTAACCTTTTGGCCAAGGGGATATTTTAGGGGATATTTTCCAGAGGAGATAATTCTGTCCAGTTCAATTCGTGCAACTAGTAGTATATACATATTTGGAGTAACAGGTTGAATTAGAAACGCTTTTGTCTTCGATCACGGGTTTATGTATTTGTGGGTGCATTTGTGTGTTTGGCAGTGGAAGACTGTTAATGAAAGTGGATGAGCAGCATACGTGGTCAAGTTGTTTTTACAACTTGACCACGTATGCTGCTCAAAAAAAACAAACTTATGAAAGTATATCTGGGAACTTCGGTCTAAAATATGTGTGTGTAATTCGCATTGTGTATTTACACATGAACTGTCGAGATTGAACACTGAGTTTATGTTCAGGTGAAATCTCTCGTGTTCAGATAAAATCTCTAAGGTTCAGGTAAAATTTCTAGTGCGTAACATTTACTTGCCTTCGTACTTGCTCCTTTAACCAGTATATCTGGTGAAAGTACAATTTGCTGATACTAAATGGGATTGAACATTCAATTAGCAGATTACGGATTCGATTAACAGCAAAGATTATGCTTTTTTGTTAGTAATTGTTGAATAACTTGAAATTTTGTTGAGTTGAGCTATTTTCACTTTATCCTTTATAGTTTATTATCAGGGGGAAGATGAGAGGCATGAAATTTAAATTCCTTTTTAGAATGATAGTGATTTCCCAACCTCTTTCATGTGTTTATTACTCATGTCGTGACGATCCCGATGCTTAATATAGTAATTATTCCATAGCTCTATCGCATAATTGTGTGGCATACAATGTTACAATATCAGCGATAGTTTTCTTCTTGATATGTGAAACATAGGGCTTTTTCCAACTTCCTTATAAGGCACTGTACTGTAGAAATATGCTGCCTTCCTTCATGACTATGTGGAGAATGATAATGAGGTCTGAACTGTTGATTCTGGGAATGATATTGGGTACTATGTTGTAATGTTGTGAAATGGTGTTCAATGTTATAATACTTGAACCATTATGATTTTGGAAAAGTTTGTGAAACTGTCTTTAATTTGTTCTCTCTTCCTTGCTGCTTTGAAAATGATGTTCATCTTTACAATGTTGGAAGTGTTAAGAGTTTGTTATTTCAAAATTTTCTTCCTGCAGGATTTGAATTTTTTCCCAAAACCTTGAAATTAATGGAAGCAATGCTTGGTGGTGTTCAAAATTTGGAGGGAGCTGAAAAGCTGGCTGACGAAGATTTCACTTTTGAGAAGCAGCAGGAGCATCTTCTGATGAGCAAACTTGCATCAAATGGCAAATTACCGGTGAAACCACAGAGTACTTTTCTACAGAAGAAGCTACAGCAGCAAAGAGTATGTTTTACTTTAAAATCTTACACTTTTCAAGGAATATTAGAATAGAGCTAGGGTTAATCATTGGTGGTTTTCCGACTTCATTTGCTGTCTTTATGGTGTTATTCAGTTTCATTATTCATTCCAAGGAGAAAAATATATCTGATAGTTTCAGAGTATTATGGGACTAAATATCAGAGGGATATTCATAATATTTGTGGTTATACCGCAAAAAATCTGGTATAACTTGTGAGTTCCTGTTTGTACTTTTATAGCACTTCGGAATTATTTGTTTTTTTTTCCTTATCAAACTTAACTTGTTGCAGAAATTTTTTGATTCTGGTGACTATGCTATGAATAAACAAAAAACAAGTAATTTATCAGCGAACTTGCCAGCCGCCGATTTACAGAACATTATGCATAGACCTGCTTCAGTTTCTTCAGTTCCACAGGTATCTTCTGCATTCACCAGAGTTTGTCTCGAGGGACTAAAATTCGTAGGTTTCCATTTATGGAGGTATTGGTGTACTGAATGTATTGATTTTCCTCATAGGGAAGAGAAAGCTTTTAATGTTTGCCCAACTTAACTTAAACATGACTTAGTGTTCAAGTAATTGATAACAAGCACTGGTTTTCTACAAGTAATTAATAAGCACTATATATCTTATGAGGAGCTGGAGACAAAACATACGCCGAAGATGACATTGTGTTTCGGCATACGTTGAAGCCTTCTAACGTGCTAAGCATTTAAGTACTATTTGTTAAAGTTTAAGCACTGTCAATTAATTCGAATTTAGGAAAAAAAATTTTAATCGCCATCTTTCCTCAGAATTATTTTCTTACCATAGAATTTCATGTTTTATTTAAATTAACTCTTTAGTCCTAAACTTCTGATCATTCCTTTTTGTACATTTTAGGAAGTGGATGTGCCACTTAAAATTGATATTTCACCGAGAATAAGGGATGAATCATTGCTAATTCCTCGCCCAGATACGGTTCCGCAGCGTAAATCGTCGATCATTTACCCATCTGTACATAGTAAATTAAGCCCACAGCCGTATATTCACCACTCAGCGCACGACAATGACCCCCTCCCAGGACCCTAAAAAGTTTTGCATGATGTCTCTCGTGGTACAAATATCAACATGCTTGCTTCTCAATTTTTTTACCTAGCTATGTTAGTCCTAACGAAACAGCATTTTTGTGTGAGGGTTTTTCTTTCAAGGTTTTTTTAGAATTTGTTCAGATATGATCTCAGATCTCGATATTACGCAAACTTTAGAAATCTCAAGGTTTCGAACAAAGAGATTGAAGGATTTATTTCCTTTTCGAATATCATCGAAAATTAGGATTATGCTTACCTAGAAATTTATTCGTAAATTTTGCTTCATATCTGACTGTTGGATTCATCCGAAAATTTTGAAGCATGCTTGTGTATTGAATGTTCATGTTTTTGTCGTCCTTTCGTAGGTTCCCCTCCATTCATGCCATGTTTATTGTTTTGTATGAAAAGCATTTATCTATCATCTGTAGTCATATAATTTGCTGCTTTGTGAAAGGGTAAATGATAGCACAAAATTTATAAGCAAAGATGGAGGCTTCAGTCGTTGAGTTCTGATATGTTCCACAAGGAAACATGAGACAGATTATAAATCACCGAATTTCAGAGTGCTTTCATCTGCAAGTTTTGATCATTATTCAGGATAAGTCATGACAGGGAAATCTTTAGTCGCTTGTGCTGCGTAGGATCATTTGTCCTGGAGGATGCATTGTAAATCATGCACTCCATTTCGGATTAGATTTTGTTAGAAAATGCCAGTCCATCTTAGTTTACAATTTTGTTGCTACACTCGCATTCGTATGTTTCTTGGAACTTCTTTCTTGTTCCTATATTACTATGTGCCACTTATTAATGACCGCTGTGTGTTTTCTTTTTAATTCGTAATTATGTAGTAAAATGGATTTCGATTCCCAAGTTTCTCAAAATTTAATGGAATAAAGAACCCAGAAACTTAGTCGCTAGTTGATAAGGTAACAGCCATATTCTGTCACATCCTAAGTGATGACGTTGCGCGTTTTGAGTGGATCATAAAATTTGCAATGTTAATCACAAACCGACGTGAAATACATCACTTAGAGATGTTAAAGACTTCAACCATAATAGCATGACACTGGTGGTATTTTTACAATCATATCCGTAATATATAAAACAACCCACAAAAGTGAGTGAACCTCTTTCAACTTCAGTGAACCTCTGCAGTCCCTTTACATCGTCATTTCCACTTTATAATAATTTTCTTTTGTGTAATATCAAATGGCAAACTGCTAAGTAAATGGAACAATAAAACGAGCTAATCGGGCTTACGTACTGATGACGAACAACTTTCAGGATTTTACTTCCGGAATATTAGCAATTACAGAAATGTTCCATCTACATCTAGTATGAAAGATATGAAAAGGGGGAAATATTTTCAATCACAATACCCAGCCACGATTATAACTTCACAATAAATATTTTAAAACATGCTCTGGGATTGATACGGACCGTTTTTTACCCATACCAAAATAAAAAAACGAAGACCAAATTGTTTTATTTCCAAAGCTAGAGATCTGTTTGGAACGTGCTTTTCAACTGTTCGTTTGAAAATGCCAAGAACGGTCTTTCCATTAGAATTAATAAATTAATTGTTCGTACTCATAGCTGGATAAGTTTATGATTAAAAATTTATAATTAAAAACAACGCATTGAAGGCTAAACTCTATTGTCATTTAGTAGTGCTCACTCTGAAATACTTTTCATCCATTAACAAATCCAAGTGGTAAATAGCACTGCCCGTGAAATAAAGACGGTTGGAGACTAAAATTCATGAATATATGAAACCTTCATATAAAATTACATTGCTTTTCAGTCTTGAATAACAAATGAAACCTTGAAGCAGTACTATGATGGGAAAGCCAATGTTATGAACATCATAAAAAACAAAAACAAACAAACAATCCATGCTGTGTAGGAAAGATTCTATGTGCTTGCACTAGAACTACCAATTTTCAGGACGTGCAATGATGCAAGCTTCCAAGCATTGACGATTTCCGTGATACTTCGACAATTAACAGCCATATTTAAGCGCTTGTCGAACTGCGTATTGATATCGATCAAGCTAACACCACCATATGACCATCGATCGCGCCATATGGATGCCCTCGATTCCGGATAGTTCAGAGGTACCACTAATCGTAGTGGTGGTACTAAGAGCTGAAAGTTGATAAGACAGTGAAATTATAATCAAAAACAGAGAGCTACCGTGTTTCCCCGAAAATAAATCATCTCCTGGAAATAGGTCCTAAGAATATTTCCAAAGAAGGGCCTAATATAAGCCCTCCATTGAAAATAAGACCTAGTTATCACAACTACAGGAAGCAGCAGTGCTGACGTTTCCTGCAGCTGCGCCAAGCCATGGATTACCTTCACTTCATGCTGGCTATTTCCTGCTACAGGAAGCAGCAGTGTTGACGTTTCCTGCAGCCGCGCCAAGCCATGGATTACCTCCACTTCATGCTGGCCATTTCCTGACCTCGTCGCCACCCAGCACGACCGCAGGGAGCATCGGCTAGCCGCGCCCTTCAGTACTCCCCGGAAATAAGATAGCATGTTTTAGGGGGAAATAATATAAGACCTTGTTTTATTTTTGGGAAACACGGTATGAGCTAAAAAGTGTATATGAAGACTTTTCAGCCTCAGGAAAAAAGATCAGCTAACCACTAAAATACTAATGAAATCACTGGAGAGATGAAGCCTTCTCTTCAATAAGGGTAAACTTACAACATCGTTTTCGATAAACACTTGAATTTCTGTACATTCATCTGATATTGGGATAAATTCAGGGTCAAATCTAAAGTCATATGTTTATTAAGAGATCAAATGGCTTTCAACAGTGCAATGTATTCATATTCAAATACCTTACTGTAAATTTCAAAATGGAATAAGAAATCCACAAATCATCTGCATCATTAAGTGTTCGTAAATATTGCCTGTAATTGTATGGCCGAAGTTGATCCGACGCTTCTTGTGATAATTCCAGCCGTGAACCATCCTGACATATCACTGCTATGCGTTCTAAAACATGGTAATCTAAAATTTGCTAAAAGTTTACAGCGGTTGACCAATAGTCGACTTCGCATTCAGAAGATTTAATTTTCGTAAAGAGTCCCTCAACAAGAACACTGAAAATACGACCGTTAATGAATGAGTAAAACAATATTCCAGGAAACGAACCATCAGAGCCTTCCTCCTTTTTGATTCGTTTTACCGGTGTCACATCGTTACTTTCCCTACTTTTTGTTTTTTCATCTTTAACCAGGCTCATTACCTTTTCTGGAATTCTGAAATTTCAATTTCAGAAATTAAAGCACTTTAATGAATTTAATGCTAAGCTCGAATATAAAGCTAGTAAGCAAAAGAATAATGGATGAGCAAGGTGAAATGAAACAATTCGTTTTATGAGTAAGAAAACACTGAATGCAATTGTTAATCAGTACAGCATTGAAGTGCCTTCTTTCAACAGGTGGCGCTGGTAAATTAAAGATCAATTTGCTTAGAACCAATTCACCAAGATTTAAGATTCACAATAAGCAACAAATTCAACCGACTTACTTTATAGCATATTGATGGAAATCACCCCAAGGATCCGGAAGTGGTGTCTTTGTAGCTTCGCTACTCTCCAAACGTAGAGCATCTATCAACGGGAAACAAAGAGAATCACGTTCGATTAAATTCCTCACACTGACAACCAACTTTTCCAGAAGTTTCAATTCTACTTTCCTGTAAAGTTGGACTTTTGAAGAAAATGAAGTAAACAATGTAATGAAGGAAAAAGAAGGACGTCGAAGCACATTTGAAAATTAAATTACTAGACTCAATAAACTTATTGAATATATTATGAGTTAAATTTGAATGAGACGGGTACTTCGTAAGATATCAGTGCTGCAAAAGTGATATCAAATAAAGATTTTTACCGACGATTTTCCATTATTTCAAGAAGACGTTCAAACTTCGACTTTGGTGCTTGTCCATCCAAACTATAAACAGAAAAAACCTTCAAATTCAGCAAGTGGAATGAAATCCTAATTATTATTGCTTGGCTTAATTTTATTTGAAATTAATCCTTTCATGGCATCTGCTGCATCATAAACCTTTATATAACAATCAGTGGGTAGATTATTAGACTTGCCAAATGAATCAAGTTTTCCTCATGATACAAAATCTAGAAACTTGAAAAACAAAAATGAGTGAAAATTACCGATTTCTTTCAAGCAGTCTTTTGATATGTTCATGATAAGGCTTCAGTAACTCTAACTTTTGGCTGTAAAGTGGTTCATCAGAACTTTTATCATTTTTATTGCCTGTTGTACTATGTGCCGGAGCCGCGCTTTCTGAAACAGGGGAATCAGCAGGGTTTCATAAAACCCTTTCAAGTTAGTTTTCCAAAATCTTTTAAGAATAAGAGAAATTTATCACCAGGATGATGCTGCGTGTAAATTGCAGATGGAACACTGTTTGGACCTTTGTGGTGCAACGAAGAAGTCTGCTGAACAGTTGGTCCTACAGATGATGGTTGAGTAAGAGTAATTTGTTGTTGTGAGTTATAATTCTGGACATTCCCAGGATCTTGAGATTGATATTGCATGCTCTGAGGACCACTCATACCACTTGCCATATAATGATTTGGCATGCGTCTGGAACATCACTTAAAATTGTCCCAATTTATACAAAATCGAGATTAAAACTGTACGCACCATTTTAAAATTCGTCAGCTCCTTATAAATTAAATTGTAGGAGTTAAGCAAGCGTTTTACATTCGAATTCAAGTTCTCCACAAAGCTAGGAATCTTTAACATTTCATGCTTACGGATCTTTCATTGAAATTTCCATCATCAGCACTTCTAAAACTTACTGCACAGAGACCTGAGTTGGTCCCATTTGTCCCATACCCGTTTGCAACGAAACACTTTGAGCTGGATATGGAACTGGACCGCCTTGCATAGTCCCCATACGCACCATCTGCGTATTTCCTTTAAAAACTTTAATCAGTAGACGAATGAATTTCAAGCTCGTACCCAATGGATCATCTGTTATTTTTCTCCGAGTACTTTGAAATTATTCTTATCTAGAAATTTCCAATTAAATCTGTCAACGTAACAAACTTTGCGACATACCAACTTGCTGATTCAGCCCAACACTAATCATCATCCCACCAGCATTCATCGTGCCTTGTCCCGGATACTGTTGTGTCAGCTATAAATATGAATACGAAATCTTAGCTTTTCAAATACAATTAACAATTATGAAATCAAAATCAATTCCCTCCAAATTTTCACAGTTTTACTCAAGAAAGCCTATCAAGAAATGCGGTCCTTAAAACGAATGATGATGGACTACCTGTACTTCCTAACATGCTCTTAAATATCGCATGTAAGACGAGGCTGATTTAATAAAAAACTATGAAGCTGCATCAAACTTTTTTACCTACTCATTAAATCCATTCAAACGTCAGTTGATCTGGTATAATTCAACTTTAAAACCGATTCATAAAGCTGAATCCTCACCCGAACACGCCCTTGTATAAATCCTAAAGCAACTTGTCTTTTTTTTCAGCATTTGTTTCTGCATTAATTTGTTGTTGAGCCATCTGTTGTACTTCGGGTGGTAAGCGCGATAACGCATCGCTCATTGTTCTAAAACCAGTATTGGATACGATCAATCACTATGCAAATTTCAGATTCATTTTGAAGAAATTTTTAAATTTGACACCGAGGATGATACAAGTAATTAAATACAAAAAAAAAAGTAAGTTGAATGTAACTGGAAGAGTAGCCCAATTACTTTTTTAAAATGTAAGTAAGTAACATACAGCAGCCTCGGTTGCATTTGTGGATTCTGTACATACTGTCCTGATGCAATTTGTACTGGTTGTTGACCGGGCTGCATCATCGTCATGCCATACCTGTTTACTGAGATAATTTATAATATAATTAAAACATTTCACTTCCAGAATACCTGAGATTTCTGCAGACTGCCAAAAATCCGTCAGCATACTTATATCTCACCAATTTGTCCAATTTATTTAATCAATTAGGAACTATTGTATTTGATCCAATCTATACATCACACATTATTAGGCAGTGTCAAAAATATTTCGAAATTCTAGGAGTGTAAAGAAGAGGTTATAATATACTATGTGACTGCAATAAAATGATTCCAAATTACTGATAACTTAGAATGAATAATTTGATGATGTGCATTCGCAAGTCTTTTTGCACAAGCAATCAGAAAGTATGCTGCACTGATCAGATATTTGCAGCAAACCTAGTGACTTTTTCTTTCAAACAAACTTGAACGAACAGTGAGAAAATTGATATATCTTTTACAAAAAGTACTAATTCTGATAAAATATTTTCTATTGCTACGTTGGAACAAGTTGGAAATATCCCAAATTTAAAAGGTTTTGGGAAAAACAAACCAATGATAACGGGGAAATTAACAACACTAACCTCTGTTGCCGATGCAGATGTTGTGGTGTTACAGTTGTTGGCACAGAAATCTGTAAACTACATAAATTTTATTTAAATTTCATTCCTTTCATACATTCTCTCTATTATTCCATTGACAATCACAACGGTTAATGAATCAAAATGGATGATTTGACGTGTGACATCGTAGGCCAATCTATACCAACAAGAACAGCCGAAACACACATGGGCTAACAAATAAAGACCATTGAAATAACAAGTAAGCAAGCATGAAAATAAAACTATTATCTGAAATAATAACTAATGAAAGAGATGGGTCGTCAAAAATTAAGTAAATTGAGTAAGTAAACGTTGCATCTGACTCCTCCACTCTTATCCGCTATTTGTCGACCTTAGCACATAGCAAAATCAAAGGTAAGGCAGGATAAAATTTGAAACACATAAGAAAAAATTAACTTACCATTCGAGGATTTTGCATCCGTTGTCCTTGTTGCATTATAAATTGCTGTTGATCGACGTAATTCATTGCTGAAATTCAAGATTTTTTTCAGGGAATTATTCTAGAAAAACCTTACGACAAATTACTCACTTTAATCTAGCAAGAAATCTTGATCAAAGAAACTGGCCAGTGGCAACTCGGACTTGAACCAATGTCATTTCGAAGTAGGCGGGAGAGCGGGTTGAAGCGATGCTCTCTTCTTTTTATGCTCATTGGTAAAAGATGTTAGAGCATCTCCAGTACATTGGATGGAAATTTTCCCCGAACTCCTTCTTATCATATGTGCTATACTCGGGAAGTTACGAGCAGTTTGTGATGATGCTTCTTTTGATTTGCATATAAATCAGAGCATATCCTCTCTTTCTGTAAAGACTTATGGCTTCCTTTATTCTGTTCCTTAATAAATATTTAATGGTTCGAAGCTTTTACACTTAAAATCTTGCGTACATTGAACACTTTGTATGCACAACCGACCTCAGAAGATTCCTTTTTTTCAAAAATTCAAAAACGAGATAAAACACAAGTCGAAAATAAAATTGATATTTTTAATAATGATAGTAAACATATTTGCAGGTAATAAAAAAGAATGACAAGACAGCATTCAGATTATGGCACTTTCCGAAAGGTATCTTGTTTCAATGAATATGCTCCTTTTTTATTTTCATTTTCAATGTTAATTGTTATTGTGACTTTACGTGACAGGCGCATTTGTAAATTTGTCGTCAAACTCTGCATTCTTAGATCAACAGAGAAATGGATCAGCTATAGATGTTGTAATATCTTATTAATTGGGCGAATTTTTTTATAGTTGCAGAGAAGTAGTAGTACATTAGCTTTACTCTATAGTATCATTCATCAAAATGTTATTAGTTTTTATTGGATACCGTAGTAGTTAACTGACTCTGAAATTCTTTTTTTATAAATAGTTGGGAAAAAAAGTTTACGAAATGAACATCGTAGTAGTTAACTGACTCTGGAATTCTTTTTTATAAGTAGTTGGGAAAAAAAGTTTACGAAATGAACATACTGATTTTTATTTTATATATTTAGTATGATCGAAGTAAACTTTGATTTCAGCTACTTTAATTGTTACTTTAATTGCAGCTTGGTGCATCAAACATCCGTAATGTATGTATAATTGCTCACGTGGACCACGGCAAAACGTGTCTTGCCGATTGTCTTATCTCATCGAATGGATTAATTTCAACCAGAATGGCCGGGAAATTACGTTATATGGATAGTCGCGAGGTAGCTTCTCTTATATGCCATCATTTTTCAAAATTTCTTTGTGAGAAATAAAACATCGTGCAATTCTGGTTCTTTTAATGAGTTGGAAAAGTAATATTTTGTAAAAGGATTGTTGGAATAGAATTCCGAATTTTGGGTTCTGAAATTATATTCGAAATATATGAGAATTTATATATGAGAATTTATATGAGAATTTAATGGCATACAAGAGAAGGTACCATTAATGGGTTCTCTTTAAGATTTATAAAACATTCAGGATGAGCAAATTCGTGGAATAACGATGAAAGCCTCGGCAATTGCTTTAGTTTACGATGATAATATCATAAATTTGATTGATAGTCCTGGGCATGTTGATTTTTCCGATGAAGTTTCCTCAGTGTTGCTGTTGTCAGACATAGCTTTTTTAGTGATCGATGTGGTTTGTCGGACATTTTCTCTCTTTAAATTTTGAGTTTTTTTTATGATTGAAAAGTTTTTTTATTGTGAACCTGTATCAGTCGGATGTGAAGATTCATGGTATTGAGTTTTTTACAATTATAACATGCTGATGACGCTAAATGAGCATATTGTGCTTATTTCCCATCGGTTATCAATTAAAGCTTGGCGGGATTGAGCTTGATCTAAATATGAGTGTCCTGTTGGTTGAAGTATTGCCCTTAAATTAGATTGCCAATCTAAAAATTAGACCACAATACTACCAAATTTTGCTTTTGTAATTTCTTCTAACTTTGTAAATTGCTTCTGTTTAGGTTGAGGGACTTTGCTCACAAACCGAGTTTCTCCTTCGGCAAGCGATCCAGCTAAATCTGGAAATAATTCTTGTTTTCAACAAAATCGATCGATTAGCTGTAGAAATGAAGCAAACTCCTGCTGAAGCTTTTGCTCATATAAGATGTTTGCTGGAACAAGTAAGCTTCGTTGGTATTGCATTCTTGAGATTGAGAGAGAGCGAAAATTTCTGAATCGGAAATTAATGATTACGATTTGGGCCTCGGAAGATTAAAATGAAAAGAGCATAGTGATCGAGATCCGCTATGAATTTTTATTTTCATTTTCAGGTTAACAGTTGTATCAGTCAGATCATCTCTGGTGTTTTAGTGGAGCAAGAAGACTGGCATAGTGTTGAACGTGCTGAGAAGGGCTTGTATTTCTCACCAGAAAATGAAAATGTCATTTTTGCTTCAGCTTTGCATGGTCTGTTATATACAGTTCATAGCTCCATTTTTTAATTTAAAATGGATTTGAAAAAAAAGTGCAGTATTTCAGTTTTACTGAGGACTATATATTGCGTAAATTTCTTATACTTTTTCCAGGTTACGGATTTTCCCTGTCAGATTTCGTCAGAATTTGGTCCAAGAAAATTAACGTGCCAGAGAAAGATATATTATCAAAACTTTTTACGGATTCATATTTTTCAAAAGGTATGATCAAAGAAGGAGCAGAATGTCTAGGAAAGAAGACTTTATTTGAGCAGTTCATCTTGCAACCGTTATGGGATGTTCACAAATCGGGCCTTGTGGATGAGGATTTGGAGAAACTGAAGGTTTATTTTTATCCTACATTGTTAATAATTTCAATTTTCTTTTTATGGATATGATATGATTTGACATTAGGAAAGCTAGCATTTAACAGAAAAATCAAAGATTAAAGATGCATGCAACCTTCCACATAATTTCTAGGCATTTGCTGATAAAATGAATGTCAAAATTCGAAGTAGACGGCCAGTAGAAGCATTCGATGAATTTATGCGTGGTTGGCTTCCTCTGACGACAGCTTGTTTCCGAGCTACCATCTGTTCATCACCTTCATGTCACTCCTTCACACATCCTCGTCGATTAGCGTCATTGTCCTTAAATGAACATCATTCTCTTTACGAAATCGTGAAAGCGTGCGACAGTTCGGCTGCTACAGTTGTTTTTGTTGCTAAAATACTGCAATATGGAGAAACCATATTAGCAATGTGTCGTGTACTTTCTGGAAGTATCCGGAAAGATGACCAACTGTTTTTGATTAATAATAAGCATTCAAATGGAACTCTCCTCGAAAGGTGTGCATTTCATTTTCATGTTTTGTGTTTTTTGTATGATGACACAATATTACTAGTTTAAATACTATTGGTTTTGGCATTTTATTGCGTTCGTGAACTTCAAGTCTGAATTCTATACTTTAAGTTCCTTTTGAGTATTTTCTACCCTTCATCTATTACTCACCAAACATCGTTAGTTTCCCATAGACATTGTAGTTTGACAAAAACGTTGTTTGTGAAATTTTCTCTGTATTCTCAGCTTTTATCAAGTTATCACATTCCCGAAGTTTCAGGCCATTGGTAACCATTTCTGGAGTTTATTTACTTATGGGTCGTGAAAAAATTGTGATGGATTGTGTCGTCGCAGGTACGGTATGTGCAATCGAATTTTCGAGTGGAATGTTAGCTACAACTCTTTGTAGCGAAGCAGTTTCGGAAGGATTGGTTCGCGTTACGCATGGTGCAAAACCTTTAGTTCGTGTGTCAGTACAACCAGAAGGGGGTTTAGATGAACTAGAAAGTTTACGAGCTGCTCTGAAGCAACTTAGTGTTTTGGATTCAAATATACGAGTTATCGAGCAGGAAAATGGTGAATTAGCCATGTTTGCTGCAGGTATCATTTGTCTGTAATCTAAAAATTTCAGCTCTTTTTTCGTCTGCTTGATATCTTTTCCTGCACTTATTCGACTTTAGCTGCTTAAGCTGAAGTAATATCAAAATACCGGCTGATTGCCAAGTAGTTGTGGATTTCATTTTAATAGTATTACATTTCAAAACTTTTATGAATTTTATGGGGAAGGTGATTGGCGATATGTTTCTTTGCTTCAAAAAAGAAATTTCAGTTTTTTTTATGGCAAAATTCTTATATTCAGAATTTTTTCATTAATAGGTTCCCAGGATCTCTTACTGCTATCATTCTATCTCTTCCACATTCCACATTTTCAGGAGAAGTTCATCTTCAGAAATGTCTTACTGATTTATATGATATGGGACAGAGCAATATAAAAGTGTCGGAACCATCAGTACCTTTCTTTGAAACTATAATTTCCATACCTGGATTACCCAGCAATTCAACGCAACCCGTTGTAAGCATATGCTTTTGTGTTTATTCCGAAACAACGGAAATCCTCCAAAATATTTCAATTCAGTTTTTTAGTGTCGAATCACTATTTTCATCAATAATTTAGCCATTTATGATTCTATTATTTCTTTTTTTCTATTTTGAACACAGTTTTTAATTTTTCCACTATTATTACCTTCAACTCTTCAACTTCTTACCTGCAGTGCATATAAAATAAATGCAATATCGATAAGATGAGATGATCTCTTTGGCTGTTGTTAAATCGCTTGCGACAAACTATTTTAGGATTGTAACGTTCGTAACGGTTTGGCTAAAATAAAATTGCGTGCAGCAGCATTGCCTCGAAAACTTATTGAGGTTTTGGAGAAAAATGAAGATATTTTACGTGATTTACGACAAGGAAAATTTACCACAGCGGTAGAGGATTTGCACAAAATTTTGCTGGGTGACTGTTTGAATTGGCTGAAGGATTTGAAAGGAAGTTTTTGGTCAAAACAGCGAATTGAGCAACTTAGGTAAATGTTTTCAATTTTACGAATTGATTAATTTTCGGAATATATATAATTTCCTTTTAAGGTCAATTTAATGTCTCTTGCTGAAAGCTAGGATTGACCATGTGTCATACGTTACTTGGTCACTGGCATATTGGCATAAACTTCCTAAAATAGAACT